TGGTGGAAGTGAAGGAGGCTGCATTGTAGAGGTGAGTTGAGGAGTGTCATACAGGGCAGAGATTGCAGAGGAGATGCTCTTTTGCAGGTCCTGGTTCTTTCCGACAGAGTCCTCCTCATCGGACGAGAAGGAGGGCAATGTCTCAAGGTTCCTTTTCAGCTCTTCATCCAAACGCTTGCATGGGCTAGGACAGCCACCCAAAGACAGTCCTCCATCACTTTCACCATCTCCATATCCAGATAAAGCTGCAGCAGCTGGGGGAGGTGGAGGTTGAGGGGATAATGGGCGAAAGCTTCCACTTTTCCCAGGAGAGGCATCTTCATTTCCAGCGCTGTCAGCTGACCCTGTTGACAATCCTGATGGCCTTTTTCCAGACTTTAAAAAATCCAAAAATGAGGCAACAAAGCCAGTCTTCTCTGACTCTTTCTCTTCCAACTAAATATGAAGGGACAGAATTTTTCATTAGATCAAAATGTAAAAACATGCTCAAAAACACAGCTCTGGGATCTACACTGCATTCTCATACCTCTTGGGATTTGGACTTCTTGTCTTGAGGTCTGTTCATGTCAGGCACTCCGGGAGTCCCAGGGCTCAATCCCAAAGAGGGTGCTGAACCAAGGGAACCATCTGAGAGAGCCGGATCAGTGCCTGACAAGGAGTCTGTCCGCAACAAGGCATCAGAAGATGGCATGGTTCCAATAGGAAGTTTAATCTAATAAAGGGAAACAAGACATTATAGAAAATAACCTGGAACATGCAGATGTCCCATCATTCAAAAACTACAAGAGATGCACCGATAATAAAATTCTGGCAGACACTGATAAGCTGATTAGAGGTCGACTGATAGTGGATTTTACCGATACCGATAGCTAGGTTGGACCCCACTGGTCGATACCGATTAATCAACCGTTAGTTTTTAAAATGGATACTGTATGAAAACAAAAAAAAAAACAGTACTGAAGCATTCTTTGTAAACGAACAAAAATATTAATATTAAATATAAATTATATATTGATCATTCAAATGAATTCATAGTTAATTAACTTGTTAATTAACGGAAGCAACTAGGAAAAAACTATCGGCATGGATTTTTGCCGATAGCAGATAGTTTCGGCAATCAACTATCGGTGCCGATTAATCCGCAAAACCGATACATCGGTCGACCTCTAAAGCTGATAATTATTTTAATGTTATGGCTCATAGAGGGAAATGAGCATGTAATATTAAATATCCAATACTGAAGAAAACTGTTACAAAAAAACTCTAGTATCGCCCAATAACTGATATGGTCCCAATATATTGTCCATCGTCAACTACAAATGTTTGAACTCACATCAACCTCTCTCAAATTTTATATTTGTATATTATAATTTTTTACATTTGAACATCTTACCTTGATGGGTTTTATTGGCTCCTCATGCTGTGGCTGCTGCTGTGATTGGTGATGCATTTGCTGCTGCATGTGTTGTTGATACATCTGATTCGGGTCTTTATTGGTCATCTCCATGTCCATCATAGATTCATCCCGTCTGCCTCTGCCTCTGCCTCTTCCTCTGCCTCTGCTTCTTTCAGGAACATATCCTGTTCCATACTCTCCCATCATACCCCTAGAGTGGTGAGGTTCTGGCAATGGGCGTATACGTGGGCGTCCACGTGGCCTTGGAGGTCCTTCTCGTTTAGGCTTTGTGGGCTTCCTGCCTCTTTTCTTCGGTCCATCTTGTGGCATCAACTGCGGAGGGGGACCAAGAGATGGGTATCCAAAATCTAGATCACCCATTAAAGGGCTTAAAGTTCCCCCTCCCACACCACTTGATTTGCGACAACTGGACACAAGGTCTGGTATGAGATCAGGAAGTCGGCTTCGGCTGTTGAGGCGAATGTCAGCTGGGACGTCAGCCTTATCCTCGTCATCTTCAAATTCATACTCCTGTGCATAGCTCTTCTTGGGCAAGGAGTTTGGATCAGGTCTTTCCTTCAGTAGATGGAAGGAACTGGACTTAAGGAGCTTCTTTGGGCGAGAGGAACAGAAGATAGGAGAGGTAAGACCCCCTGATCCAGACCCAGATCCCCCAGTACCTCCCATTTTGGCACCAGATCCTTCCCCCACTGTTCCAGTTGTCCCCATTCCAAGGTTGGCTGGTTGAGATTGGATCAGTCCAAGCTGCTCTGTATTGACTGTAGATGGGAGCTCTTGAGTCTTCAAGGAGTCAAGATCCAAATGCATGGTTCCATTGTCAGGTTCTGAGAGAGCACTTCAAAAACCTCGGAACATTAAGTGTCTGACCATATATAGAGCCACAATACCAACTCTGATGACGCTGTTTAATTACTACAAAAAAAAATAGTTTTTACATTTCCTGAAAGTGGTAATGCTTTTGGACATACAATGTTTCCGCTCAACAGTGACGATATGTAAATAGATGGAAGGAACTGGACTTAAGGAGCTTCTTTGGGCGAGAGGAACAGAAGATAGGAGAGGTAAGACCCCCTGATCCAGACCCAGATCCCCCAGTACCTCCCATTTTGGCACCAGATCCTTCCCCCACTGTTCCAGTTGTCCCCATTCCAAGGTTGGCTGGTTGAGATTGGATCAGTCCAAGCTGCTCTGTATTGACTGTAGATGGGAGCTCTTGAGTCTTCAAGGAGTCAAGATCCAAATGCATGGTTCCATTGTCAGGTTCTGAGAGATCATGGCAATATTGCCCATATCCTTGGTCACTGTGATGACCAAGCATATCATAACTTGGACCTGTATTGTCTCCTCCTCCGGGCGTTGGTTTAATTCCTTCCATTCCTTCCTGCACTGCTTGGCCAGTTGCAACCCCATCTTGACCCTGCCCAGTTCCTCCTGAGCAAGTGGATTTGTACTCCTCTGTGCAGAACATATCCTCCATTCCAGGAAAGAATGAACGGTCCTCATCTGGGAGAAGAGAATCAGGGAAGCAGATGGATGTTAACGGAACAAACCTCTGGCTCTGTTGGCTTTGATTTTGGTTTTGATTTGATTTCACTGCTGGATTCCTGGTGTCAAAGTGGGGCTCTCCTTGATGCTGGTCAAGCTGAGGTTGAGGAGTGGTAATGCTTTTGGACATACAATGTTTCCGCTCAACAGTGACGATATGTAAATTTGTTGTTTTATCATCACCAACAACATAAAGCTGCCTATGACCTTGTGTTCCTACCTGACTTAAGCTAAAGTTTCACATTAAATGTGAGTACTACTTTTAATATAATATCCAGTTTTAATATGCCATTTGAAGCAATGCATGTTTGTGCAATTTTGCTATACTGAAAGAAGAAAGTCATATACACCTAGGATGGCTCGAGGATGAGTAAATCAGGGGTTAATTTTCATTTTTGGATGAACTAGAATGGATGAAGTAGTATGATTATTAAAGCATTATTGTTATGGTCCTTGGTATGAACAGCCCTTTACATTGTAACATTTACACAGACAAATTGGATGTGTCTGAAATCTGAAAAATGCTGCCCTCACATGTAGTACAATGAGGCAACACAATAAGTGAATCTAACGTTTGTGCAACATCCCATCTATTAAGATGCCCTCATCTGGTGGGCTTTTTAAGAGATATCATATATGCCTATGATTTCTCACAATCCTGTGCATGCAGTTCAATGGCTGGTGGAAATAACAAGGTTGGCTGGTTGAGATTGGATCAGTCCAAGCTGCTCTGTATTGACTGTAGATGGGAGCTCTTGAGTCTTCAAGGAGTCAAGATCCAAATGCATGGTTCCATTGTCAGGTTCTGAGAGATCATGGCAATATTGCCCATATCCTTGGTCACTGTGATGACCAAGCATATCATAACTTGGACCTGTATTGTCTCCTCCTCCGGGCGTTGGTTTAATTCCTTCCATTCCTTCCTGCACTGCTTGGCCAGTTGCAACCCCATCTTGACCCTGCCCAGTTCCTCCTGAGCAAGTGGATTTGTACTCCTCTGTGCAGAACATATCCTCCATTCCAGGAAAGAATGAACGGTCCTCATCTGGGAGAAGAGAATCAGGGAAGCAGATGGATGTTAACGGAACAAACCTCTGGCTCTGTTGGCTTTGATTTTGGTTTTGATTTGATTTCACTGCTGGATTCCTGGTGTCAAAGTGGGGCTCTCCTTGATGCTGGTCAAGCTGAGGTTGAGGAATCTGGGAGGTGTGAGAGGGGTGAGACTGCTCTTGTTGCTGAGAAGCTGCTGAGGAGGCCTGTGGAGGAAGATGATGATGGCTCTGTTGATTAGGATGGGAGGGGTGAGGGTGTTGATGGTGGGAGTTAGAATGTTGAGGACCTTGTGACGATTGTTGCTGTTGGTGGTGATGGTGGGATAGGTGGTGTCCATGAGAAGTAGTTGATAAACTCATGTCTGGCTCAGGAAGATATGAGTGTAACTCTGAAGCATGATGCTGCGTTGGGTGGTGAGATGAAAGTCTTTGTTGCTTCTGTGATTGGCGCCTTTCTACACTTCCTGCTGTTGCAGCTCCAGAATTTCCCCTGCTTCCTTCACCTCCTGTCCTCTCATCCACCATTGCTCCCTCTTGGCTAGATGTCCGAGAGAGGGAATGTTCCAGCATGTCTAGTGAAGACACTGTGTTAGACTTAGGGCGGCTCTGGTCTTGCTGCTGGGTACCATGACCATAGTGACCAGCTGCTTCCAAAGCCTGGGACTGAAGCTGGAGTTGGAGCTGGGATGTCTGGGGCTGGGAATGGGTCTCTGCTGACACAACTCCCCCAGTGGCTTCCATAAGGGCCTGCTGGCTTACAGAATGCTGCTGTTGCTGAGGGTCTGTTTTGCTGCGGGTGTGGGACAACACAGACTGCAACAAATGAGGGGGTTGGCGAGACTGGTCAGTGGGAGAGTCCATAAGTGGCTGTGACTGGGAGTGACGTTGTTGCTGGGGTTGTTGTTGATGTTGTTGTGGATGTGACTGATGATGTTGAGTTTGCTGTTGATGTGCCTGTTGATGCTGATGGTGATGTTGCTGCACATCAGGTGTCTTACGTATGTAAGCCATATCTCCTGAATCTGGAGTTTTTTTCTGAAGATCCATGTGCGGGTGAGAGTGTAGGTGTGGGTGCGTGGGTGTATGTGGAGTGTGTTGATGGTGGGAGGTGGATTGTTGAGGAATTGAGTGTTGGGAATATGGGTCATCCCGCACATAATGCACCACAGATCCCATTGAATCATGATGATGTTGAGGATGGGAATGTGTTTGATCTGAACTCCCTCGTCCTCCATCACTTACAGTTCTGTTGCTTTTCTGCTGTGGTTGTTGTTGATGTTGTTGTTGGTGCGGTTGCTGTTTCTTTAGGGACATCTCCAATTGACTGTCCAGTTCAGCTCCACTCCCTGTATCAGAGACAGCAGCATTAGAGGTGGCACTATGTGTTCGAATAACACTTTGAAGGTGGTACCTCTCTTCTGAGCTTTTGCTCATCTCATAAGCAAGCCCCTTATTTCCATCCTGAGCTGGAAGGACTGGAGGCTGCTGGGTGGGCTGTATGGAATGATGGCTTTGAGGAGGATGGTGATGGGATGCTTGAGGAGCAGGACTCTGGGCTTGAAGAAGGTGCTGGATGAGGAAATCATCATCAACATCATCGTCCTGTTGTGACCTAGACTCTGTTACACCAAGTATGCTGTTATCAGACTTTGTTTTGGGAGGAGCAGAGGGGTGATAGGGTTGTGATCGAGGTCCTCTTGTGTCTGGGTACCCTTGTGGAGAAGGCAGAAATGAAGGTGAGAGAACAGAAGATAGATATTTGTTGGATCCTGTTCCAACAGGTGACTGAGCAGGTCGTGAAGGTGCAGGAGAATGCAGACCAGGACGGATGATTCCAGAATTGCCAGATGGAGATGGACTTGAATCAGGGATGTGGTAAGATCCACCACCTCCTCCACTACCACTGGCTCCAGTTCCTGTACTGCCTCCACTACTACCACCACCAGTTGTTCCACCACTTGCTCCTGACCTAAGAAGGGCAGGAGAGTGTCCTGATGCACCATAACCCATTGAGGGACTTCCAGCACCCACTAAAGATGGTGGCAGAGACCCATAACCTGAATCAGTCCCATATACTGCTTCTGCTGAAAACGACTGACTTCCCAAATTCCCATACCCTTTAGCCACTCCAGAGGTCCTAGCTGAAGGAAGATCATGAGTCTGTGGAGAACTGAATCCCCCATATGACTGGGAAAGGTGTGATGGGGGAGGCTGACTTGGAGAGAAAGACTGGGGTTGTGGATGAGGAGGGGTCTGGCCCGTTAGACCACTCGATGACTTGACTGGAGCCACTGGTGATCCATAACCCGAGAGGCACGACTTGGGAAGGGTTTGCTGGGTGGAATTAGAGGAGCTCTGAGGGGCCTGGGAATGTGACTGGGGTGGAGGAGGTACAGTCTGGGTTGGTGGCTGTTGTCGAGAGGATGCAGAGGCAGAAGTGGAGGTTGGAATGGAATTAGACTGACGAGCACTAGCAGATGCAGAGGAGGAGGAAGAGGATGAAGATGAGGATGAAGCTGAAGAGGCAGAGGGCGGTGTGTGGGGGGTTCTGGAAGAGGATGCAGATCCAGAAGAGGAGTAACCACTACTAGAGCTGCTCTTTGTCCCCTTTCCAGCCCCACCAGAGGATGAGGATGACGAGGACCCATAAGAAGGTTGGATTATTGGTCTGTACTGTTCAGTCCTGGGGGAGGGTTTATGGTCTGAGGAAGGACTGTGTTCACCTAGGGGACTGCAAGAGAGGCCAACATGGCGCGTATGAGTGGCTTGCTGATATCCTGACACCCCACAGCTAAGATAGTGCTGAAGAGGGTGAGGGGTGGATGAGGGGGCTTGTGCTGGAGAGGGACGTTGGTAGTGTTTAATTACACTGTCTTGTCTTGGTACTGTCCGCTCTTGGGATGTTGGCTGAGGTGGAGCAGGGGTAGAGGAAAACACAGAGGCACTGTACAACTGGGAGGACTGGTCTTGAAGCTGGGAGGACAACAAGTTGAACTGATGAGACGGCATATGGCGGGCAGAAACTGAGGCTGCAGAAGAGGCTTGTGCAGATGTGACCCCACCCCCAGTTGGATCATGACTTCCACGGTAGGCCGCAGCTGCACCCTGTGATGACAACAGGCGGTCAAAGCCAAGGCTTGATTGTGAAGGTGTCTTGATGTGGAGTAAAGGATCATGGGGTGACAGGAGGCCATTGGAGGTGGGGCTGAAAGTGGGCGTATCCTGTAAGGACAATGAGGGGGTCACACCAGGAAAGGACCGCCCTGAGAATGGCGCTGGGTGCTGATAGGCAGACAAAGCAGAAGAGGATGGGAAGGATCCAGATCCAGGAAGGGCACCAGAGATGAAAAGCTCTGCAGGGGCAGGTGTGTGCATGGCTAAAATTTGGAGAGAGAAAAAAAACCACAGAAAAGACAAAAGCTAAGGCTAAGAAAACATACTAAAATAATAATTTAAAAAACGTAATAAGTACAAAGACAATACTGGCTTTCGACATCTGTGCACACTGAGTTATTACAAGAGCCAATTAATATTTTTTAATATGTGACTTACAAGTTGTTGCTATGGCAACAGTGTTGGCAGTGCTGGCTGAATGCACTTACAGTTTACCAGCATTTCCTCTATATATTCTATACATCTGATGCAAACAGTGACTGTGCATTCTTGATCTGATGCTTATCAAATATGTTATTTCATTTCGTTGTACATTATTCAAATATACCTATGCAAACTTCATACAACTCAGTAAGCCAAGCTTACCAGTCTGCCATGATGGACTGCGAAACTGAGATAGGAGGGATGAGGCAGATGGAGGTGGCTGTGGACCCCGGGACTCTAGTGCAGATATAAGGTTCATAACCGATGGATCTGGGCCTGACGGACTTGTGTGGTGCAGCCCAGCATCAAAAAGTCCAGACAGGCCTAAGAAAAACATACATGGAAAAACAAGCATGTAATGAGCACATTTTGGCAAATACTGCTTTAATTCTATACAAAACACAGATCAAACATCAAAAGTACTGGTGCTTCAGTAACAAGTCAATTCTACAATAAAAATAAATGTAAAAATACCAGTCTCTCTACGATATCTGTAACACAGAGTACAACAACAATTTTGTACCCATTGCTGATAGGTGGCTGTTTCCAAATGCTCACGTCTTCTGCACATACTCTAATTCACATGCATTTCTTGGTCAAAATACTTGTCCTGGCAAAGTATTGAAGTAAACACAGTCGATTAGGTCTTAAGTGAATGTAAATAGGCCTGCTTCTCAGTCAAAACTCTTACAGCATTTATTCATATACTAATATATTATATTTTGCAATCATACAGTGCAGACTATCAAGTAGTTTTTTTTATTGCATGTGATAATTATTTTTTAAATTTCTGAACATTTAATTGAATATACTTGATCCTGTTGTTGGATACCTGAAAACTGCAAGCATTGTTTACTTCATTTTTATTAATCTTTATTCTATTGCTTGTAATTTGTTTATTATTGTCTGTTTGCTTGTTTTCAATAAATAGTTAATTACATTAATATTTCAAATTATTTTGCTGTGATATTTGGCTGATATTGGTATTGACGACTGAAATTTTGGTATTGTGTGTGACAAGCCTAGTCTTGACTTATACATCATTGCTGCAAATCAATCATGGTAGTCGGAAGGTAGGACGAGATCATGTGATAAGCTCTATGATATAAGCTACTTTTGGGCACATTGTGCATACATCAGAAACAAAAAAATTTGATTTTCCACAAGTGCTTTGGTACTATACACATCAACTTGATACAAAGAAACCAAATCAGATGTTTGAACGTGAATTCAAAGTAGTGTCACTCACCCAGGCTCCTTCCAGCTGCACCCCAAGCCCCACCCTGGCCAGATCCACCAGGATGGTGATTGGTAGCATAACCCTGCAGGGGATGGGGAGTGGCGTAGGCTTGGCGATGAAGAAGTTCAGACTCTGGATGTGATGATCTAGAGCTGCCGTACACCAAGCTGCCGAGACCAGAGATCACCAGTGACTTTAGCATTGATTATCAATGATGCTTGCAGCAAGTGTAAAAACTTAGTCATTAAACAGTTTGCAGTTTTCCTATGGTAATCTCTGTACAGTAATGCGAAACCAAGTTTGTTAATGAGAAATATTTAAGTAGCAATTTTGTAAAGGGTATTATACTGGTATATATAACGTGTATCCTAATTCAATTCTATTAAGTTTCATAATCCCAAATTAGTACAAAATTCTTTTTTATTTAAGTTGTCTTTTAATACATAGATTTGTAATATTTGACATAATTTTTTTAATCACTGGTGCATCCTAATATTTAGATATCTGGAGCTGTATTACAGAAAATCCTAACTTATCTTTATCTTATATATCAACCATGGAGATTTCACTTAGGATGTCATTCAGAACACTTCTCAGATATTAAGATCATAAACTTCCTCATACAAAAAAAAAATATATAATTCACTATAACAAACCTGAACAGTATTTCTGAGATATTGAATTTATACTTTAAAAAATGAATGTAGTAACACAAATCTTAATTTGAACTCCATGCCATCAGAAACTGCTCAGTAATATAGTGCAATAATGTTTTGTTGGAAACATATTCTATATTATAAATGATTAACAATGTTTTATTAACATTAGTATTATTATATTTAGATATATCCTTATCTTATCATGGGGATTTCACTTAGGATCTCATTTAAAGCATTGAACTTCTCAGATATTAAGATAGGAAGACTATGTAATAAGGCACCTGGACAGCATTTTTTAGATATTAAATTATACTTACAAATAAAAAAAAATTAATGCAATAATGCAAATGTTAATCTGAACAACATCCCATCAGACACGAGCCACTGTCACTGTACAATAATGCTTTTGTTAGAAATATAGGCCTATTTCCATATCATAAATTGTTATTAACGTGTTTCATTAGCAATATTGGATTTTTTTTTTTATCTTTCCTGTCAGTTATGTGTGTGTTCTGATGATGTATGAAATACAATGCAGGTAAAGTACATAGAAATTGACAATATTAAAATACGCCATTGCGCAACATCAATTATGCCTTTTTTAATTAAAAAGCAAAGCATGTTTTTATTAACGCAATGAATTGTTGACTGGTATTCATGTCCTGATCTGTGACAGTGAGCATAGCATCGGAGGCTAACTCGTTAGCAAGGCTGCGCAGGTCGCTCCCATCTTCAAGCGCGAAGAGCTAGCTTAGGCAAGTCTTAGCGCTAACACGATGGGCGTTTTTTACTTTCACTGGCCTGAAATCAAATCTTACATCGGTTTTATAATTTTCTCTTTTTTAGTTTAAATCAATAGTAGGCCCACATGCGACAACAGCATTATGAGGTTAGCTAACGCCAGCTGGACGGTCTAGCCCCTCATCATCAGAGGCCGCGTAGCATTGTTTCCCCGATTTATAAAACAACGAGGAATATTATTTCAGCAATACGCTCTAAACGTACAGCTCCGTTTAATGCTCATGTGGTGTATTTTTTAAATCAATGGTGTCGTTTAAACTGTTGAGCGCAGGTAACGTTAACGTTAAAGCTGCGGTTCGCGTCCTTTTTTAACTATCTCTCGCTCTTTTCTCAGTAGACTTGACCCTGAGCCCCTCATTCATTCATTGGGGATGCTAAACGAATCTAAAAGGGGATCTGTACGTTAATAAAATCGTGCGAGGAGACTTCACCCCGCCCCCCACCTTTTTTCTTCCCTCTCCTCCTCCCCAAACCGCACATTAGTCCATCAATCACACTTGAATTTCCAAAGCTGCAAACCCTCGCTTATTTGAATAACAATAGCTACACTAATACCTTCTGACATCCTACGCAAATACATCGTCAGATGCAACTGCCCGGGGTTTCACAAGTCTGCTTGGTCCCAAACAGCGGACATCATTCTGTGTTCTCAGCATGGCTGCATGCTTACCTTGCTTTGGCTGATCTCTCGTAGCTCCATCCGGCTCCTGCGCCCAAATCACCGAAGCCAGCTCCCGGGTAATTTCTGTCCATCGCTTCGCACTAACGCGCGGCTGGATGCGAGCGAACGGTTCCGGTGCGAAACTGTTTTTTGCACTACAAGATCGCGGTCCCGTTGTCAGTTTTTAATCATTCTTCCTGGTGAGAGACGACTAAATCCATAAGAGTGAAAAAGAGCATATTGGAAAGGGAGAGGGAAATGGAGGGGAGGAGATGAGTGCGTGATAGAGGGGGTGTTCACCGACCACCTCCAAAGAAATAACTCACGTCCTTTTCAGCCTTTTCTCATTTAAAACTAGATAAAGTAATGCCATGCTCCTGGCGGGCTGCGAAGAATTCGGTTTGACCTGTTTACCGATAAATTACTGACGTCCTACGTCCTTTCCCTTGTTTCTCCTCCCCTTTCTTTAACGTTACTTGTATGAAGCCGTTAAACAACTGCTACATTACGCATGCAACGATTTTGCGAGCGAATATCAAACGCGACATTTAAATTCCACCCACAATGTTGTTGTTGTGAGCTAGCAGCGCGCTAGCCCTGTCGACGCATCTAAATAAGATGGTGTAAACCGTGCCCCTTTCCTTCACTCGCTTCGGCTTGCGTTCGACTCGACGATTTCAAACACCCACGCTGCGTGCGGACTCCGCACGGTTCGCTTGAACGTCGAGCTCGAGGCCTCTTTTTCAGAACATTAGTCATTTTCCCTCGAAGACGCCATATTTGAAGGCGGCTGTTTCTCTCCCTTTTCCCTCCCCTCCGTCTCTCATACTCGAGCTCGCGCGCCGTCTGGTCCACCTCACCTCCGCCTCCCCTCGGCCTCCACGGCAGCCACTAACAGAAGCTATTCCCGGAACACGCTGCTCCCTCGTTTTCAACCGAAATGGTCAGAGCCCAGAGAAGAGGGAGGCATTGGCAGATGCACGTTCATCACTATTTGACGACACGTCTGCAAGACCTATTTTTTTTAGAGTGTTTGCGTTTCATCTGCATTATGTCTATAGGACGTTTCCTATCAGATGTCAAATAGACCTTTAGAAGATGCCTTTAAGATGTTTATGATTTGTGGGCTTCGTGCTGTTGTGGTAAATTGGCCCCTCACGACCCCCACACACCTTTGACAATGACCGTGAACAGTGGCAAAACATTTAGCATATGTTTACATATCAGCCTGCTGCCCCACTCTGTATGAAATGGCATTGTAATGGCAGACCTTGTAATAATACAGTTATAACAACAGTATGAAGCTTTTCACTACCCTGTGAACTGGGAAAATTGGATATTTCTACCTGTTCTGACATTTAAAATCATTTTTATTGGTGTAACCTAATGCAGTTATGTTTTTTTCAGTCATATTAAACAAAGTGATTGTTCACGACACTGTTTAATGTTGTTAAACGTTGACAGATACTGCAATGCATTAATTGCATGAACAATTAATGAACAATTAAATCCTTAAAATACATTTTAAATATATATGAAAATAATTGTATCTGAAAACTAGCCTAGTTAATTTATATGTTGCCACATAATATACAATGTAAAAAAAAATCAAAGTTAAAGATTAGAGTTTTTTTTTTGTTTTCGAACACAACATTTACTTTTTATTAAAAAATTTGTATTTGTGGAGTACGTGTTTACAGAAAAATACTATTTCAGTCTTTCTCCTTCAATATTCAATGTTTAATCGAACATGTTACTTGCTGTAATTGTGAAATTTACTAGTAGTTTCAGAGTAAAAAAAAAATCTGCTCAAATTTAGTTTTCAGTCTACACTCTATTAAAAGTGATTTTTCAAAGCAGTTAATAAAAAAGGATTACTAAAGCAAGTTTTTTAGGTGTGCAATGAGCACAGCTATGAACAAAATGTCCTTTCTATCTGTATTTTGTATGTTCATTTACACATATCTTATTATTAGCACATTATTATAAATTTACATTCTGGAATTGGATAAACTCCAGACGTTTCAGTGTAGATTTATGGCTCAAAAACTTGTGTGCCGGATACCGAGACTTTTGGGCATCATAGGCAATCATTTTTGGGCATCATGGGCCCAAAGTACTGCAGACGTGTCTAAGACAACCAACACTCCTGTAGGCAGCTCATTAGGTTTCCACAGCCTTGGTGTTGAGGGAACAGGCCTTTATGCTATCATTAAATACTTCCTGTTTTGCTGGATTTGTGTTAAAAGGTATATATTAACAGATGGAATATATATATAATCCTTAACTATGTATCCTAGACAGGCACCACAAGCTTAGCTGACAACTTTTTGGTTGTAGTAAAATAAATATGAACATGTTCAATGTAAATATTCGAGGATGTCATTCTCACCGTGACCGCTGGGAGGCGCCCTAAAAATCTCTAGAATTGACCACAGGCAGCTTCACTGACATCCAGCGATGACAGAAGAAGTGTGTGTGAGTGTGACGTGACATGTGGCCAAGTATGGTGACCCATACTCGGAATTAGTGCTCTGCATTTACCCATCCAAAGTGCACACACACACCATGAACACACACCCGGAGCAGTGGGCAGCCATTTATACTGCGGCGCCCGGGGAGCAGTTGGGGGTTCAGTGCCTTGCTCAAGGGCACCTCAGTCGTGGTATTGAAGGTGGGAGAGAGCGCTGTACATTCACTCCCCCCACCTACAATCCCTGCCGGTACGAGACTCGAACCCACAACCTTTGGGTTATGAGTCCGACTCTCTAACCATTAGGCCACAACTTCCCCAAAAATACAGCAACAGCTGTCCGCTCGATGAAAGACGAATCAAAAGGTGAAAAAACGTGAAAAAGAAAGCCCCCTAATCCTCTCCTGGGCTTTTTAAAATTAAGCTTATCTAATTAAGATGCATATGAAACACATACCACCATGGCTCACGGGTAAAATTTCCATTAGGGCATTGATTAAAAAAATAGATTTGCATTTCCTGAAGGAAATAGGCCTAGCAGCGATTGCAAGGCAGGTTCTGTGTGAATGAAATGCCAAATCAGAGCCACTTCAGCACACAAAAACAACAGCGATATTTTGCAGCGTTGAGGTAGCTATGAATAAATATATTCAAAGCAGACTAATCATAATTCAATATGCAAAATAATGCAATGATGTCTATCGGTTACTAAGCTACACACTGAATGCATACTATTTAGCCAATTGGAAATGTACAAAATTTGAAAATGAATTTAAGAGATATAAAATTATATTTTTACGTTTTTTGATCCCCCAACCGACATTAAAGAACATAGTTGTAAAATCATTAAATTAATTTCAGTTGTATATGTTGTTTTATATACATTATCCTAATCAACAGTTTTCATTCATATCATTGTCAATTAATTCCGAAATCTTCTATAATAATTTACCAATAAGATATTTTTTAACCTAATTTCTGGGTTTGAATATATATATATGAACAGATAGATAGATAGATAGATATTATTGGAAAAGTAACAGTTTAACAGTTACTACATATTATATGTATTATCTTATTATTACATATGATCTTGTGTGTGTGTATATGATGAGTATGATGAGTAACAACACAAAGTTTTGACTTTGTAAACCTTGTTGGTTATTTTTATTGATGCCTATCAAACTGATTACATATACCATCCTGAATCCATTTTGATTCCCTCATTCCCACACAAACACACACACACACACAAACACACACACACACACACACACACA